AAATCAGCTATTTTGATTTCTCCATTTCTCCTCACTAAAATATTGCATGATTTAATGTCTCTGTGAATGAGTTTCTGATGGTGCAAGAAACTTATTCCTTCAAGCAACTGTCTGAAAATAGCCGCCAAGTGACCCGCCCTCAATTTCTTATTTCCATTCAGTTGAGACAGAGTTCCATCCATGAGTTCAGTCACTAATGCAGCACTTGTGTTATTGTAAAAAGAATTCACTGCTCTAAGTACATTCTTGTGATTCAATTCTTTCATTATGCAAGCTTCATCCCAGACATCTTGGGCATATGATGGACAGGTCGGGAACTTCACAGCTACTTCTTTAGAAGTTTGTAAGTCAACGGCGCTGTAGACCGCTCCAAAAGTTCCTTCTCCCAGTTTCGATGTAACTTTGTAATAACGAGAAATGACTCGATAGAGATTGACAGTAGAGGTATCCATTTGTAGCTCTATACCTAATAAGGGGAAAACACAGTCTGTCTTACAACGGCTGATTTATTTCTTTTTATTCTTTAGTTCTGATGAAGTCAGTAAAATAGAGGGCTACCAGGCATGCAGAGTTAGAGAAAATATCTTTTTAATCAGCCAGTCGTTACAAAGTTTCTTACTTCATCTAAGGGTTGCTCAGAAACCATGAATAATTATCGAAAAACAAAAGGTTATCTAAAACAATGTAAACGTTAGTTTAAATTGGGAGAAGAAATATTTGTAAGTGATTTATAATATAGGTTCTCTTATATAAGCCAGACCTGAACCTGTCTCCTTCCTCCCCCTTCCCACCATTTTTCTAAGGTAATCGTACTTATACTTACAAGACGCTCCGACAGACTCGATCAATTTACTTGTACTCTTGATGGATATCGATCTCCGTGGTTTAGGAAATGTCTTCGATAAATCAAAACGACATTTGATGGGCTTGTATGATTTTTTCGATAGCTCCTCATCAACAGCTGAGCACTGAAAAAGGCTTACATCGTACACCTCCTACAATAAGGAATTATGAAAGTAAGAGGAAAAAACTAAAAGTGGTTGTTATTTTCATGTGCACAGCGTTAACTATATTGTGGTTGAGAATTTTCTTAACAGAGGCTTTGCACCATCACGTGATGGCAGCCATGACAGGACGCACTAGGTACAATTGAAACTGGTCTAATCTGATTTACATGAGAAAGAATTCAGTTTCCAAGGACAAAAGACCATTGTTGTGCCTCCTTTCATCGCTGCCATAATGTGATGGTGCAAAGCCTCTATACGGCAAAGGCAGCTAATAAAACATGTCATCTATTACCTGGGGACTACATGGATCACCACTAGAACTTATAAGTGCACATCTGAAACAAAGATTACATGATATTATCAATTAAGGTAGTTCTAACTCATGTGACAAACGACGTCAAACACATAGCAATCGAGTGTTAGTGGATGGCCTACATCCTTGGTTGGTGGTTGTTGTCATGCGAGGAATGACAGGATTATTTTATGGACGTCAAGTCATATTCAGACTTAGGGTGGCACGCATTTATTCTGTTTCTGCAACATACACATCTCTTAACAAAGTAACGCTTAACTAAATACTCATTGAATGGAGCGTAGCAACATAACTTGTTTAATACTATCTTACATATAGAAGTTTTGGTGGCCCCACAAGAAATGTAGCCGCGGCCCCTCCCAACCAATAGATTATAAATAATCACTATTGTATTGTTAATAGATAGATGGGAAACATACGCTTATCAAGTTTAATCTATGGCGAACGCGTAAAGTAAGTCAATTGTACCACTTCAGTATTAATGAACAAAAATCGAAAACATTTACACATTGCAGATAGATAAGAGAATACTTGTGTTTGGTGAGAGGGTTCGCAAGAGGAAAACTGAAACTTAGACGCAAGTAAATAATGAAAAAGTGGTTATGTCTGCCGCTGTCTATTCATTCATTCATTCCTCCTTCCTTCTAATCTCTTTTTAATTTCCTTTCTTTTCATTAATTCCCTATCGATTTAGCAGGAGAGCTACAATGTTTACTTACCTTCTCCTCACGACTATGCATACAGCAGCAAGCACCGACAAAACAAACAAGGCAAGGTTTACGTGTTGAGTGTTGGTTTGTTTGACGACTACTGACAATGCTGTAGTTTTTGATGGTTTGTCCTCTGTTGCTGCTGGAATCGATTCTGTTGAATACGTGTATACAGTTTTATAAAATTACTGTTATAAATCTCGCATTCTGATTGGTTGGGAGCGCGTGCTTTATGAGAGCACAGAGCACGCACGCCCCCTTTGCATTTTATAAAAGAATTTAAAAACTTGCTTGCTGTGCTGTGTGCAGTTATAAAGCACTTGGGGATTGACAGAATACTCGAGAAGTGTCGAGAAGCACTCCGCTACGCGTCGTGCTTCTCCTAACACTTCTCTCGTGTTCTGCCACTCCCCGCGTGCTTTATAACTGCACACAGCACGCGCACGCGTTTTCTATTTCTTCACTATTGCAAGATGACAGAAGTATGGATCAGAATTTGAAAGTCAGATACAGTTGGGTTAAAGGTAACCTGTACTTCAACTTCTTATTGTGCTTACCTGTCAGAGACCAATATGTTTGCCATTCTTCTTCAACACGAAACTTTTGTACAGGAAAGACTTTATTTGATGTTTGAAGACTGAGTTCAGGTACGATATTTTGTGATAACAGTAAACCACGACTGCGGTTTGCTGTAAARCGTAGAAGAGAAAAAAGTGTATAGAAAGTAGACCAACTAATCAGGTATTTGCATGCTACGCCCTATCCACAGGGAGCCCAATTTAGATACGGCCATGGTCCCATATCTTCCATAAGTGGGACTCTTGTTGAAGAAAGCTCTTTCAAAATCGACAAATGCACAGTTTAGAACCTTATCTCAACAGACAATTACAACGCAATTTACACACAATTTCTACTGTCTTCAACGTGGCAGGGTGGGTCAACACACGATGTAACGTTGCATGCAATGAAGTGCGCACTGTGTGTCTATATCTACAACGTGTTTCTACTTTTCTTCTGAACCGTCGCAGGGTGGGTGAACACACGGAAGGTCCAGGGCAAGCAACATTGTTTCGCGTGCTGACGCTTTTCAGATAGTCTATTAAAATAATTCAGGTATTCACATRTGTGAAATAATCAAATACCTTGATACACAGGAAGCTCAAGGACTTTCAGATTAAATAGATGATTCTCTGAAAAACATGATTTTATTACGTTTTCGATACTTAATTGAATAGACGATGTATATCGACGTTCACACAGTATTATGGGAATCTGAGTACAGTAGACGAAAAAACAAACAAACAAACGAACAAGAAAATGAGGAGAAGTTGAAGCCACTTTACTTGTTTATCTATTACTTTCATAAAATCCGCGAGTCACACGCATACTCAGTTTCCCACCATGCTTCACACATTGGAAAATACCTCGATCAACAGGAATCCCAAAGGTTTTTGTCTCAATTAAATTGCCACCTAAAAAATAGTTTATTTTGTATGTTAGTTTATTGTTTTATGAAAAGTGTGTTTGTCATGGTTATTTTAAAATTGCATTCGAATCCACGTAACAATAAAATAAATAATCAGTTACGTAGATTGGCATGGTGGATGCGCGCGCGCTACTGGAAAGTAAAAGAAAAAAGAAAAGTGCGCATTTGAAAAAAAATGCTGAACATGGTACATCATTTTTGGTAACAAACTCTGCACATTGTTGGTTGCTTAATTGTTTTTCATTGATTTCCAACATATCATTTAAAAAATTAGCACTCTACTTTTCTCATTTCTTCAATGTACTGTTTTGGAAGAGAAATATCTACGGCGCGCCAAAGACGCAGATAACAAAGTAAAAAACTAAAACTCACCTGGAGTTTGCTGTGCAATAAACCTCAGGCTTGTTGTAATCTCGTACTGTTGGACTTGGTAAAGAGTGAAGCCAGCAAAGAAAATGAAACATACGTGAATGACGACACTCAGAAAAGACATCTTGTCTCTTTGAAATCTATATCACTAATGAGTCGTTCGGTGTTCATTAGTCCATTATGACATCATCGTGACCGCGCGTTCTAATTACTGAGTACTAGTGCCCAGTTAATCGCGGTTCTATGCGCGAAATTTYCCCCCCAACTTTCGTATTTCTTTTCTTAAGAAATGTATTGTATTTTCTTTTGTTTTAATTTGAGAAAAGAAGTTGCGTTTTCATATTTTGTAACGTCTTCACGTACGTAATGTTTTTCACAATTCTGTGATGAAAATAACCAAGAATCAATGCTTTGACGTGACACAAATGTCCAAGACATTGTGAAGAAAAGATGCTYTTCTGTTGAAAGCCATGCGCAAAAACCATCTACTAACATCTCATCAGTATGTATTATGAGGAAGGTGTTTTAGAGTAAAGTCATCAAACCCGTGAAATAGATATTAGAYTAATACACTTTAGTAGACCAAGGGCGGTTCCAGGGGGTCGCGACCCCCCTGTCATTACTGAGGTCAAATGGGCTTCCTGTGGTAAAAATGCGACTGGGATTCCTTTGCTCACAAAATTTACCCCTGAGACCCCCCCTTCAAAAAACCCTGATCCGCCCTTGTAGACCATAATTCATTTGTTTTCTTTTGTCTATTTGACTATTACGCGTTGACTAGTATTTTTTGTTTCATTGGTTAAATGCCTTTACTCTAAACAGCTTTAACGACACCACGGTCACGGTTGTGGGGCGGACACAAACCTCTTAATTTCTTTGTCAACCTTCAAACTGGAGTGAGTCAAGCGGATGATTGCTTGTGTAATAGTTTGTAATTAAATAATAGCGTGCATACCATATATATACCAGATTCAAACCCGGAAACCATTGTTTAGAGGTAGCACATTAGCAGCATATACCACCCGTGCTCTGCGAGAAAACCAGCACCAGGATATTATCACAAGGTGAGGGTACATGCATAATGTAGAAACGCAGAAAACGGCAGTACAACTAAATTAAAATTGAATATTTTATTAGGAATTTGAATATAAAATTAATTTAAGAGACGTAAATAGCAATAGTCTGGAAACCACATTAACTAATTGTAAGGTTTCGGCTCTATTTTCTGTCTTTTCTACTCGAATCCCCTTTTGCTCGATGAGAATCGTGACGGCTGTGATCTCGCCTTTCTTTATGTCGATCTTTCTCATTCCTATCCCGTTCATGTTTGCTTCCACGACGATCTCGAGAGGTGTCGGATCGTCGTTTTCGATCAACTTCATCTTCAGCCTCCTTTGGTCTTTCATCTCTGTAGCTATCCTTTTCACGATCAAAACTACGACTACCGCTCCGATCTCGACTGTAATCACGATCACGACTGTCATCTCGACTGTTACGGTTAGAATCCCGACTATCACGATCGTAGTCACGACTGTGATCTCGACTGTCACGATTGTAATCACGACTGTCACGTTGGTAGTCACGACTGTCACGGTGGTTGTCACGATTGTCACGGCGGTAATCACGGCTATCCCGGTTAAAACTTCTGGGGCGATTGTTTTCTCTGTTCTGATCTCTGTCATGATTACTGCCAATATGTCCTTGTCCCAGTACTTCGACCGGTCTGCAAGAAAGTTTAACATTAGCTGAAAACTACCCCAGTATTCTGTTGTCGGTAGTCTAGATGTACTCTTGTCTAAGGACTGAAGATCTAGAAAATATGGAGCTCTCCAAAGTACCAAATACAGCAACCGGGACGGGACTGGGAGGGGGAGGGGGGTTGGTACTGGGAGGTCAGGATAAAGAAAAACCAAGGAGAGCAACGTAGCAGAGGTAAGGAGAGAGGAGTGAGAAGTAATCTGGATCAACGTTCGATCTTTGCAGGTTTCAATCGAAGTGATTATCAAAGACTTCTTATACATACGTACTGGTTGGGCTGTCGTAAATAGTCTTAACAAACTTAGCCTCCTCAACAGGAAACCCTCACAGTTTTTGCGGTGCAGGCTTGGGATCCCAATGTAAATCTACAGTTGTATCTCAAAGGTACAACTGTACAACTGAACACTGCATTTCATTTCTAGGACCCTTAAAGGGAATGAAGGGTGGATGGGATAGGGCTAGTGCACATAACTCTTATCTCTTGTATCACAGATTTGATTACCAGACTCAGCATCACATGAGAGTAAAGTTTGTTAGGTCTCTTCCTCGATTCAAGTTTTTTTTCCAGGTTCTTCTAATTTGATCTCTAAGTTAAATCTCGCCCTGACTCAGATTAGCCTAGATGTTATTCTGAGTTTGATCTTTAAGTCAATCTTGCCCTGACTTAGATCAGCCTAGATGTTGCTCTGGGTTTTATCCGTGAGTTAGTCATGCCCTGACTTAGATCAGCCTAGATGTTGCTCTGGGTTTGATCGGTGAGTTACAGTAGCCTTGCCCTGACATTGAGGCGGTTTCAGGGTATTGATAAGCAAGATGTAATATCCCAAGATTAAAGCTTTAATGGGTAAAAAAACCAATGTAGATACTTTATATTAATATGGGAATTCTATATTTATTCAACTTACAATGGTCGTCTAAAAGGCCTATCCCTGCCTCCAAATCTTAACTGTCCTGATTCTTTTTTCCCACCAAGACCACCACCTGTGAATGAGAAGAATACATTTGACTCACTATCTCATTTCAACCAATCCCTGATATCATGAGAGCTGGACATTATAAATGTACAGTGTATTATCTGTAGGTTTTCCTGCAGAATAAAATCTTTATTCTTGGCTTTCATGTGATGTCATCAAAAAACTAAAATCCAAAGTAATCACTCCATGAAATGTTTGTTGAATATGTTCCAGCTGAGTGGTGAAYGCGGTGCGCAAAGCATCAGCAGATAACACAGCCTTGGTTTTGATAATTTAGGATATCATCCTGAATCTCATGCAATAATTGTTTAATATTTGGTGATGATATTTTCTCTATTGGTAACTATGAGACTGCATAAACCTACTGTAGTTTAAAGATCTGCAGTCCACCTACATACCCAATCTCCTTGGTATCCATCCTTTAAGCATTCTTTCAAGCTCATAGTCAACTAGAATTTCATGTCCATCAATATCTGTTTGGTACATTTCCTGATATCATAGAATAAGTGGATAAAATACATCAGAAATTTCACCTGATTAAAGGTTTTGATCACACAATGAAGTAATAATTTGTTTGGAAGAAATGGCAGTTAAAACGTTAGCTGCATTAAAAAAGGGAAATGGATCAAGATTGAACAAAAGGATGTCACAGAGGGGATAGGGTAAATGAAAATGTTTCATTAATCAGCAGCAAAACCCAATTGACATCATTATAGGAATAAATTACTAATGAAATTGTTTGGACAATAGCTCATTATTCAATAATTGCAGAAAGGAAATGTGCTCAGTCAATGGAGAGACGATTCTCTGATTGTTGGGTTAACTGGGATAAACAAATGGGAACCATAAATTAAAACAATAATAAATTAAACTACAGTGTTGGAGTACTTACTCTATATGCAATCTTAACATCTCGTTCATTTTCATACTCAACAAAGGCATATCCCCTCGAGAGTCCAGTAACTTCAAAACCAATAAAATTATCAATCAACTGAGTAATTAGGATAAAACAACCAGGATTTATTAAATATTCAGGGTTAATGTATAGCTGTAAGTGTCGCAAGTCATGCATTAGTGAAGCGATACGATTATATCACTACACGAAAAACTGTGAACTGTGTTATTGTATCAACCCTTTTATATGTACTTGCAGAAAATATCATTCCCCCCCCCCCCCCCACCAAGGAGCAAATTTGTAAAAGGTCCCCCAACCTCCAGGAACTTCCAATTTCTTTCATACTAACTCTGTAATTTTGTTCTATTTCTGACCCCCTCCCCTCCAGAATTTACAATTTTCTCTGTGGATGGGGTATATTTTCTGGAACTGCACAATGTGTAGTACAATAAACCAAAAATGTTTAACATGCTTAATTAGAGCTTGATATCATTTGTATTCTGATCCACTCCATCTTTCCATTTTTTTTATTGCTCACTGCTCCCTCATACACTTGCTTGCTACATTATGGAAAACTAATACTTTATATAGATATAATAAGAATTTATAACACACTAATCCAAGTATAGGAAAAATGTTTGGTGTATGGGAGTTAATGCAGCAAGGCTATTTGAAACTGAAGCTCTGCACTAATTTAATGACAAATTAAAAAGGTGGGTGAGGTCACAGATGACTGAGGATAAAATCCACATGCACACTGCTGATACTATTATCAAAAACATACATACCAACATCTCTCACAAGCCTGCATCTTTTGACATTGCCATATTTTGAAAAACATCTAATCAAAGTTGCTGTGGATAAAATATTTCAAAAATAAGCCATCATTGACAGGTTTTCCAGCCAGACTGTATTTTATCAAACTATGAAATAATGGAACAAGGTCATGCCATGAACAGACTATAATATAAGGATGTGCCTACACTGTAATTGGTTTGACAGATTGATCTAATCTTGAATCAATCTGACTTAAATCCAGGCTAAGTTTGGTTTAGATTGATTGCAATATTTGATAATATTCCTTGTTCCTACAGAAAACTCAATACTAAATTACACACAACAGAAGTCTGTTCACATTGGCAAATTACCTAATACAAGTGAGCAGTATTAAATGCAAATACAGTACATGTATATCCATAGAAATGAGTTTACTTAAAATGGCAGAAAAGATTGTCCTCTTTATGGACATAAAGAGTGTAGTGAACAACAAAGTAAACTAATTTTAAAAAATTGCAATGCTTTGATCAAACAATTGGYTGTTTTCAACTATTCCCAAGAGGATCAAAAGACAAAGACATGGCAGCCATGCTGGTGGACAGGTACAAAAGGATCTAATGAGAAGTGTTTTGTTAAAATCCACCAGACAACGTTACGTTAAAACAAAGAATTTGTGGCGTGGGCGCTTTCTAGAGTAGGAAAATGTCACTCAACCAAATAGTACAGCCGCTTTCAGTGTCGTCATGCAACGCTTTCATCAGGTGTGATTAAGTTTGGATTATACCATTCCCACCATCAGTTAGAAAGATATACTTTGGATCGGTCTAAAGTAACCACCTCTTGCACAGGTCGAACTTGAATCAAGAGTCAAGTGATCTAAATTGAAGTGTGAATGGTCTAAATGTGTGGCCGTCAATTTGAAACAAATAACTCCTGCTAGTGTGGACACAGCTTAAAGTTAGCAACTGTGTCCTATTTCTCATGCTGGCATTATTCTTTAATGTCAGCAAAATTTGTACTATTTAATTAATGAGTTTTCTGCAATATTTAAATTGCTGAAAGTCAAACACTCAGGATTTTTGGTTGGGGGAGAAAGAAGGGACAGGTTTTTACCATTCAAACAGCTACTTTAAATAGATCAGTAGATTTTATAGGCTTATAATTAAGGATATTTGACTCTGTTCATAGTTAACTATGCTCTGTTCAACTCACCTTCTGTAGTATCTCTGTTCAATCTGCCGACAAATAGGGTACAGTCTGGATTTCCTTCAACTCTTTTGTTTGGTTTATCTAGAAAGAGGTAACACAATCTCTGTTATATATCTAGAGATACTTGAGGCTATAGTTGAGCATTAAAGAGCTACCAACATTTAGCAAATAATGCCCTCCATATTGCTTTATCATGTGGATACGTGTCGGTGCCGTCTATACTTCCAGCTTGTAATGGGTGATAAAACTTTGCAAGCTGCGACCAGTTGTGATATGTGGGTACTTCGTATTTTAGTTTATTTTGCATCTCCAGGCGAATCTTCTGCACTTTGTTCAGTATTATTGTTCGTGTGGTTTTGTCTGAAAATCTTCTTGTAAGAGACAGCTGTCATTGGCTGCCAGCGGTCTTCCCCAGCGCGCGAAAACATCAAAAAATAAAGACCATAGTGGGAGGGGAGGGTTATCTATACTTTCACTCAGTCTATTTAAAAACAGATAACATGTTAGAAAGATAAGAATTTTTTTATCCTTGGTTATTTTCTTATTAAAGAAGAAGCAAGAGGTTGATTGTTTGTTGTGTTTTTAATCTGTTAAAAAATAAATATCAGAACCAATCAAATATGACCCCCACCCCTCCCCTTTGACAACAGATTTCGCACGCGTACGCATGCGTACAACAACAAAAACATGAAGCGGCAAAAGCGCACGTGAAGAGAACCTGGGAAACTCCGAAGGAAAACTTTTCGTCCCAAATCTTTTTTTTTTTCTTCATGCTTTAAGGAATTTTCACCGGGCTTCAAGCCATGACAATGTCAGAAAGTTCAAGTGGTATTAAAAAGAAGAAAGAAGATGCTCTTGTTGCTGTTACTCGACATGTTAGAGCTCTGCTCATCTCTGCGCCAAATGGGTTGAATATTGTGGAACTACAAAATGACTATCTTAGTATCATTGGTAAACCATTCCCCTACAGAGAACTCAGCTATAAAACGCCTTTAGATTTACTGAAAGCAATGCCTGACGTGGTTAGAACAACCTGGGACAGAGGAGAGCTTATTTTAAAAGGTAAGACATGCAGAAAACACAACATGGCGCAGACAGTGGAACAAGAAGTTATGGTTACCCTACTACTGGGGCTAAAGCTTTTGGTTTTGATATCTTCTTGGGAAAGAAAACGATACCCATGTCTTTAGTAGTCCACCTGGCCACCCTCTACCTTTATCTTGAATTAATGCTGAAGTCTTCTTGAACCAAACCTTTTACTGTAATATGAAGTATAAGATTATTGAACCAAACATTCCTGGTATGCTTTTTTTTACTGGCATTCATAAAATACCTTTGTTTATTTTCCCTGAGTGAAAAAATGGCAATATTGTGCAATAGTACCAGGAGTCTTCAGGACGTTACCCAAGAGACCTCTGTGGGCTTCTGCTATAGGGTTTCTGTGTATAAGTCCAATCGATTAGCATGTGCCAGCTGTCAATCAGGTGGAAAATAAGCTTTGTTGAAAATTGACAGGAGGTTTCACACAAATGGCTCTAAATTAATGTTTGAGTGTTAAATGAAAGAATTATGCAAATTTGACTTTGCAATGTTACATGAACGCTTTTTACATACCTGTGAGTTAAATTTAAGGGCGCTCTTTTGTAATGGACCCTTC